TAATGAAATATTTCCAGACTCCATTTTAATTGACTCGACAGAAGAAATAAACGACACTCGACTTTTTATATAAGTTGATAATTCCGATGCAAACCCCCGTAGAAGGTTTGTGGGACACAGCTTCACTTCGTGCTAATGTTAAACCTATTAGCACAAGTCAAGAACGTTTCCGAGGCTGATTATCAGGTAAAGACAATATTATGTCGTTTTACCCATTATTAGCCTTGCCTATTCATATTCACGTTAAATTGTTGAAATTTTAATTTATCGTAACATTCCCTTATACTGTTATTCTCGTTGAGATCGGTGACATTCTAATTGTATGCAGCACGTGACAAGACGTAGTGACACGCACTGTAATTTGACGGTCACAGTTCATTCGTAAAAATATGTCAACTCGTTTTAATAATCTTGATAAGTAACATCCTGACAAAAATTGCAATCACAGCTTTTGAATAAAAGCTTGATATGATAGGTTGATATGATAGGTTCAAGTAATAACAATTATGTGATTAAATGCCAATGAAGAAATGAAATTAATTTTATAAAACGATTCACGAAAGTATTTGAACCCAGTGACAAAAAAATTTCTATAATCGGAGTTTATGTAATAGGAGTTCAGTGATCTCCTCTACTAGTAATTTTTCTTTTTATATAATAAGAGTTCAGGTTCAAATAAGTGAATTTAACCATTTAATCAGCCATTTAGTCAACCATTATTGACCAAAATTGGATTCAAACAAATTATATAAACAGATCTTTAGTATCCTAAAAAATTTTTTGCAATTTTATTGTTACTATATAATGTGACACTACTGACATAATGGCTAAATCTAGAAATATACATATATAAAAATTAGAAAATATTTATTTAATAGTTATCTCATTAAATATATTAAATTTTATTAATAAATTTAAATAATTTTAAAACCTCTATGAACTGTACGTTTAAATAATATATTTTGTAAATATTATTATACAGTGTGTCTCTCTTAACAGAGAGCAGTCAAATATCTCGAAAAATGTGAATGATGTGTTCGTGTTAACACGTAATTTTAATAAAAAAA